GCGTGCACGGCAGGGCTGCTCGCCGAGTTCCCAGCGTGCGTATATTTCCAGGCTGTGTTTCAGGAGGGAGTTAGATAGCAAGGAAGCACAGCTCTGCTTCAGCGCACCGGGTAAATCGGAGCGGCCCGCTGTCGCCGCACACGATTGTTGTGGCAATAAACGCGGTGAGTTCTGGTTATTGCATGCACAGCCCTGCACTGACTGCTCCCTGCCGCTCACCCGCACTCTCCCTTTAGCAACACCCCACACACCTGTTCAAATAATATTACTATTACCTTGTGTTGACACCACATCCACCCTTTCCTTTCATATAATAAGAGCTCCTGGTGAACTGTAAATGGAAAGCTTGTTGTAGCAGAAGCTGATTGTTTACCCGTCTCCGGTTTGTTGCCACAGATACTTGGTGGGGAGAAGTGAACAAAGATCGGTCTGACATCCTTGTTCAGCAGGATCTGCCCCCCACCTCACCCACTGGAGGTTACTTGCTGCCATTCAGGCCTGAGCCCCGCAGGTGTGCCATCACACCTGTCTGACAGAAAACAAAATGTGGTTTGTTTCGTTACAGCCATTGCCCTAGCTAAAGAAGGAAGAGCTTGCCCTGAGTTTTGTTTTAAGATTTCAGTGAATCCGAGCAAAGAGGAGGAGCTCTCTGTTTATGTTTAGTGCTCAAGCTGAATGTGACAAAAGCACTCCCAGCCACCAGCCGTGAGCATCCAACCCTGCATGCCCAAAGGGCTGGAGGCCGGACGCAGGAATGGTGGAGCTGCTGTAGTCATGTCTCTTCACAGCACTGGGCATGGGGGCAGTGGGCATGGGCAGAGGGCAAGCTGAGAAGGGCAAGCCTGGGCTGAGTGTATTTTCATTCAGTTTCAGTTGTCATGGCAGTGACATGGGTGTAGGCATGGAGTAAATCTTGTGGTGGAACTTGGATCCAAATGGAACAGATAGAATAGGGCTTTGTCCACGCAGAGCAGGACACTGCAGAGCCCTAATGTTCACTTATGTGGATTTGCCATTTGCCATTGTGATCCAAACACTGCTGAAGAAGATGGAAAGACTTCAGCAGGCATTTGATCAAGAGCTGAGTCAGTGGAGTTTCCAGTGCTTTAGGTATAAGCATTTTTCACACACACACACACACAAAGCTAACACAATTTGCCCATTTTCCATCTAAAGGGGTGCTTTATTTATATTTCTTAACATCCTTATTAAACACCTTATCCGAAACTGCTTCCATTCTGGTTGCAACTGTGCTGTTTGCACTCAGCTCTGAGGTGTTTCTGCCTTTAGAATGAGAAGCATGGTAGGCGCACGGTGCCAGCTGGTTTGGAAAGAGTTTGTATACTGGGCTGCAACTTATGTAGAGAAATGTCCTTGAGGCAGGAAGCATATTTTATTTATTGTTTTATTTATTGCTCATGCCAAGTAAATGGAATCCCAAATTATGAAGATGCAAAACACACTGTGGGTATTTATCAGACCTGAATGTTTTTATGTGCTCCAAAACAACCTGGGTTTCCCAGATGACTGTGAGCAGCTTGCTGGTTTTGAAGATCTAGCACCTTTGGAACAGAAGGGATATGCTGAATTTTAAGCACTTGGAAAGAGAATTAATTGCACGGACAGCAACATTCTCCTTTTTTTGTTGTTGTGTGCTCATCAATAGCAAATGATGAAGCCTCTAGGGGATATTAACACAAGTAAACTAAACAGAGGAGTGGGACTGTTTAAACAAGGTGAGACAAAAGCCTTCGTATTACAAGCAAATGACTTTGGTAGCAATTTTATTTTTTTTTTTTTTAATGTTTCCACCTCTATTGTTGCAGATGTCTGCATTAAAACAGGAACTGTATCTTTCTCAAACCAGGTTCTCCTCCAACAGTCTGCTCAGAGGTTACAGGCCCTCTTATCTCATGGGATACTTCTGCCAGGGTTCCCCTTGCAGCATCCTTTTGGGATGGGAATGTAAATCCTGCCTTCCCCATCCCCACCATCTGCAAATAGGAGAGGATTTGCCCCAAGAGCTGTGGAGGCATAAGGCCATCTGCATGCATGACTCCATGCCTGTGGGCCTTCACGCCTGCCTGCTCCTGGGATGCTGAACAGGAAAAGGAGGCCTAAAGGCCTGGTCCCGAGTGGGCGTGAGCCACAGCATCATTCAGGTGAACAATTCTCTTCCTGCTTCCACGTTGCCATGGGACCTTTTTGACCCACTGAAGAGAATAAGCAGTATTAATTCTGAAATGTTTTATACCGCATGCATTAATGTTGGACTGCCACAAGTAGAGACACCACAGCTCTGAATGAAGGGATGACAAACAATAATACATACTAAAAAATGTCTGAATAGGAACTTACAGGATGAACTGTAACAGCTCCGAAGAAGCCATTGCTCTGTGGAGTACATAATGTGCATGCTAAAAATGGTAGGAATATTTATTTACATGACACGGCTCGGAAGAAGCCATTAGGGTCCTTAAGTAAATTACAGATGTTGTGAAAATTGTCAGAGTGCTTTTTTTACTACTGGAAAGACGAGTGTACCCTGCTGCTTGATAAACACATCATCTTGGGGGAGGGGGAGTGAGCGGACCTGAGGCTAAAATAAGGTTAAAATAGGAAGAAATGAAAAATAAAAAGAGAAAAAAAAAGGGAAGAAAATAAACCCCAAGCCTCACACCATGCCAAAGCATGCTGCATGCCCACCAAAAGAAGAAAGCTGGGGCAGATCTGCCTTGTAACCCAGCACCTTTCGGATGGAGAAGTGCATTTGCCAGGGTGACTTCTCTCTGGCACAGGAGGTGAATTTTCTAATGGAAGCAGTTGCACAGGGGGGAATATATTTAGCCTGTGTTTGCAGATCACATGTGCTCAGAGTAAAATGTTTTCACTGCTGTTTGGGAAGCACGCTATTTAGCACTGCAAGCCTCGCTATTGGAGAAGCCCGTAAATTGTGTTGCATCTGAGACAATTATTCTTATTGCCTGTACTGTGGTTTCTTCTTCCTGACTGCAAAGGTTTTAAAAAAATCTGACTTCTACAGCTATAAAAGCACTGAAAACACGTAACAGCAGAGTGCTGCCCTGCTTTGGCATAAATCTGTTTATTCATTAACTGGGAACAACCTGCAGGACAGCTATGGCATTCCTCAACACCACTTCGGTCAAGGCTGAAAACGCAACTGCTTAAAAGCAGTGCAGCGTGGTTTAAAAAGTGAAAATAAATACCAGCTCCATGCAAAACAGTTGAGAAAACGCATCTCCCATGGTAAGGGCTAGAATTTGGCTTTCCCATGGAACTAACGCTTCTGATGGTTTGGAAATGTCAGAGGAGTCCAAGCATTTGCATGGACCGGGACTGCAGCACTGCAGCTGACAGACTGCAGACAGCACAGCAGGCAAGCTGGGGATGGAATGACCTCGATCCCTCCTTTACTCCTTCCCAATGCCACCTCCCCATCCTTAACGCATGCAACATCCCAGCGAAGGGGTCCTCACAGCTTTCCCTTCAAAAGGCTTCCTTGAAACCACCCTGCTTCTTCCTATACTTCCCTTGTAAGGCAAAACTTCCCCAAAGATGAAATAAAAACCATGACTGTGTTCTGCCTGTTCCATCTCCCTGCTCCTACAGGGCCAAGCACGCTCAGTCACCAGCAAATGGCAAATGGGAAGCGGGACCTCAGTTTGACAGCTGGTGACTTGCTCAAGGTCACAATGGAGACACAGTAGCAGAGCTGGGAACAGAATTTGGTATCCTAATTCCTAATCTGGCAGCCTCACCACCGCCCTCATCACGCAATCAAATAGTTCCTTTTAAGGAATGCTTTTGTGACTAAGAAAATCCGAGGCATTAGAAGAAAGAGCCCTTTTAATTTGCCTTTGTTCAAACATTTATGTCTTTTGCTATATGGAAAACATGATTTAAACAAGGTACGTGATTCAAATATTTTGAAGGACTCTAAAACATTTGATAAACCAAAATAAGTGTGGCCGTACTGACTCCAGCATCAAGAGAGCAACAAGATACTCCTTGCTTACAGCTTCAAGCGTAGCGCGAGGAATTAAATCAGGAGCAGCCTTGATGCAGTGATGGAGGATTTTTGGATGCTATACATCGGCTTTCCTATTTGTCAAGAATCTCATAAAACATGAACAAATTTCCCATCTCTTCAGCAAGAGCTCAGTTTTCTGAAGGCTCTAACTTGTTGCTTCACAACATTTTTAAAAACACAAAACCAAACTCAACTCGATGGGAAGCTGCCCCAATCTGAATCAATACGGGGTCGGGTCCGGTCCGTGATTTGTTGGCTCTCCCAGGACACAACTCGATGCGGGTGAACTCCACAAGGCAGTTTCATGTCTTAGGACAGCACATTTTGCTGCTTCCTCCTCTGTGTAACAGAATACTGTAATTTGGCAACAGGGGAGAGAAACAAACGAGGGTATTGAGAACTAATGTTACTGAAAATCCTGTATACAAAATAAGCCGAGCTGTGTAAGCTCAGCTAAGCATTGGACTACAAATATTAATAGGTTAAACAAGGAAAATGAATGGAAACGTAAACCTGTCCTGTGGAAAACTGTTTTTAAAAATGTAACGAAGAATTCCCAAACAGCTGCAAAATGGCCTATTATTAGTATTCCTACTGTCATTGAATTAGTGGGAGACACAGGACAAGACGTTCATGGCTTAATTCTACAAGAACACGTACTTTGCTCGTTAAACTATTATTGCAACATCTGAATAGGGGGAAAAAATGTAAAGCAGGACCTCATCCCTGTCCTGGGCCCCGTGAGATGCCTCTGCCTTCAAAGCAGCATGGTGACAGGAGGCCTTGTGCCTGCTGACACGCGAACTCGGCTTTGATTGGAGCTTGATGCAATTATTTTGATTAAGAAAATGTTAATCTTGTTGACATTATCACTGTAGTCAACAGCTAATGACCCCAGTAGTTCATTTCCTTATAAATATTTAACTTAATAGCAGCAGTCCCTTGGGTTACGGTACTTTTGACACTTGTATAATCTGAAACAAATCCTCTTTTTCCAGTCAAACAGCCCATGTTACACACACAGTTGGCTAACTATTTACAAAGCACCCAATTAAACCCTACTTAATTCTCCCCTTCTGAAAACCCCATCTCAGAAGCACACGGGCTGCTGAACACACCAAGCAGGCATCTTCCACCCAGCCCAGGCACTGCCTGGCACTCAGCAAACACGGGGGTACAAGGATGCATTTGCCCATCAAACAGTATATACGAAACAAAAAGCAAAGAGAACATGCAAACTCAGAGAATTGAAGAAATAAGCTGAAGAATCACAGGTAAAGACAGGTAAATCTAGTTTAATGTTCACATGTAGTAATTACACATCACAGAGATTAAACAGGATTTTAGCTGTAACATAGCTGCAGTGAAACGAAAGTTACTCGGTGCTAGAAAAATAATCTTGACACAGTTCTGATTTTTTGGTCTACTTAAGCTCATTGCAGATGAGTTCACACCGCTGATGGTAACGGTGTTGCCCATACGCCTTCCCACAGTCCCCCACTAATACTCTTTGGATGAAGAAAACAGTGACTGGTTTTGTTTGTGGGTTACCCTTTGGTTGCAAGCAGGGAACTGTTTTCGCTTTTCAAGCAGTTAGTAAGAGCATAGGAATGCAGGTTCCCAAAAAAAACCTTTTGGTACTAAAGTTCCAGAGCAAATTTCTTGATCTGATGCAACAGCAGATTTTAAAAAAGAGCCGATTAAGAGCTAAAGCATCGCCCCATAATGCAAAAAGTAGATAGAATGTCCATTCGCAGTAAAAAAAACCACTACATCCTACTCCTATGCGTATAGAACGCACCAAAACCCCCCTGTGCTAAGTGACACAAGCGGAGGCTCCATGTATAATACATTTACAAACATTTCAAGTCTAGGTTGAGGAAAACACTTCTGTATGAGTCGGAACAAGTTTATTTGCAATCAGACATGGCATGCAATCATGCAGGACCACCGCTACAGCCGAGGCTAAGGGACATGGGGACAAAGAAGCCCTACGCATACGGGATATTTCCATACCGGAGCTCCACACCGAGCTACCGTCTTCTAAAGAGAGATTCCCACAGATTTTAAAAAAAACATACACACTTTTATCATATTTACAAAAAAATATTTAATTAAAAATATTTTATAATTACAGTAGTCTATTAAAGCATATACTTTTCTCACACTTATAGAACATCTCTCTATGTACACAGTATGAAATGTCACTCGTTTCTCTGTACAGTATGCAACATTCCTGCAGGGAGAAGAAAAGTTCCCGGGCCCCATAAGCCATCTATTTTAAACAATAGACGAGGTCTATCTATATGCGCTCCGGAGGTCGGCAGCGCTGCGCGGTGGAGCCGTGCTCATCCCTCCGTCGCACTCGGTCCCGGGGCAGAGCCGCCGCTCCTCCTGTTCGGTCCGACCCCACCGCCACCACCGCGGGGAAAGAAGAGCAGCGGGGCCGGGGAAGCGCGCACGGGGAGACGGGGGCCGGCCGGAGCCTGGGAGCGGCTCAGGACGGGCATCGCCCCGCCCGCCCCCCGCCGCGCACCTGTGGGAAGGAAGGAAGGCACACAAGGGGGTGAGCCGACCCGCTCCAGACGGGCTGGCGCCAGCGGCACTCCACGATGCCCCGGGTCACACATACACACACACGCATTCACACACACACACAGCCGCGGCCCGCGGGCTGGGGCTGTGATAAAAGCTCATCGGTAGAAGAATGAAAGCCCGCCCCGTAAATGAGAAACAAACCCCCCCAGCCTGCCGCCAGGCTCCCGGCCGCGCTCAGCCCCTGCCCAGCGCCGCGTTCCCCGGCTCCACCGCCCCCGACGCCCGCACTCACCTGGGTAGCGGCGCTCAGCGGCAGAGGATGCTGTCCCCCGGCTTGTTAACAGAGCCAGCCTGCGCAGCAACGAGACGGCGCGTCACGGCGGCATCGACGGACCGCGCGTTCTCCCCCCCCCTCCTCACCCCCTCTCCTCAAAGCATGGCGCTGCCGGGAGCCCCCAGATGCCGGAGGTGCGCTCCGAGGGGGAAGCCGGTCCCGCGAAGCCGGGCTGCTCCCCACGCCACCCGCTTCAAACGCTCAGTGCTCGGGGAGCGCAGGGGCCGCGCGGCGCTCCCGTACGTGCAAACACGCGGATAGCGACCGCTCCCCCGAGGGGCTACAGTTACAACGCGGGGATGGATGCGGAGATGGATGCGGGGCTCCGCCGGAGAACAGCTCGCCCGCCCCGGTCCCTCCGGACTGCGCTGCCCCAGGGCCCTGCAACGGTGCCTCCCCGCTCCCTTCTCTCGCCCCCGTGACGGGCACGCACCTCTTACCGGGTCGGTGTTGAGGGCCGTCAGCGGGGTGCGCGGGGTGCCCGCGGGACAACCGCCCGGGTGCAGGGCGGGCGGCGGCTGCCGGAGCAGCGCCGGGTGCGTCTCCAGAGCCAGCTGCAGGTCGAGGATGTAGTCGATGACGTGCTGCAGGATCTCCACTTTGCTGACCCGCTTGTTGGGCGGGATGGTGGGCACCAGCCTCCTCAGCCGGCTGTAACAGTCATTCATATCGCACTGCAGGCACAGGGCCGCCGGCTCCTCGCCCCCTTTGCAGCCGCTGTGCTCGGCCAGGCACCGCAGCGCCGGATGCCCGCCGCCGCCGCCCGCCCCGGCGGGCTGTGCCTTGCGCCCGGGGTGCCGGACGGGGCTCACGGCTTTCATGGTGCCGCGGGCACGGAGAGAGACCGGGACCTCCCCCGCCACCTCCTCCCGCGACCTCGGGCACGCGCCGCCCGCCCGCCGCCACGCAACGCGAGCGGGGCACGGCCGCGGCCTCTCGTTGCTCGCTGACGGGGTCCTCCCCACCGGGATGCGGCGAAGACGGCGCTGCCGCAAAACCCGTCCCGCCCGACCGCTCAGCCACCGCCGCGGCCGCTCTGCTGTCGCTGCCGCCCGCGCCGCTCGCTAAATAGAGGCGGACGCGGGCGGGGCGCGGCGCTGCGCGGGGGGGCGCCGCAGCACGGCGGCGCGGCCAATCGGGGCGCCGCGTTCCCCCCTCGGAGCGCGGCGCTGACCAATGGCGGCGGGGCGGCGGCGCCGCTGGAGGGGGCGGGCGGGCGGGCGGCGCTCCCCCCGGGGCTGGAGGCGGAGGAGGAGGAGGAGGCGGCCCGGGAGGGAGGACTGCGGGAATGCGGGCGGGACCGGGCACCCGGCGGCTCCCAGCGCAAACCCCCACGGCCCACCGCGGTGTGACCCGACGCTCGGGGAGGGAGAAGTACCTCCCGCCGCGGCGAAGCTCGGTTTTCCCCGCTCCGCGTTACCTTCCGCGTGTATTTGAGGGGACTCGGGAAAATCCCGAGCGAAACTCGAGGAAGGGGAGGAGGGGTTGGGGGCTCGGGCGGAGCGGTGCCTGGGAACGTTAAATTAGAGCGCATAACTATTAAAAATGCATGGAGATGGGGTATTTAAAATTCCTCCATGACATATAATATTAATCCGTTTTATGTAAAATTCATACCTGTAACTTAATTTGGTCCATTAATGCACGCGATCACGTATTAGTGGATGTACCATGTTTTAAATATGATGCTGGAAATGTCCAGAGTTCTGTACTTTGAGACAGAGCATTAAAATTAACAGATGCATACTCCAGAGCCCCTCTCAAGTCGTCTGGTGGCAGCTTGCAACCTTTTAATTTAATAATGCTGTGCTCAAACTTTCTGTTAATTCCTTCCCGGGATTAACAGCCGTAGCCGGACTGCACTGCAAAGGGCACAGTGCCCAGCCCTGCAGCGGCTGTGCTGCTCCAGGACCTCAGCAGGCACAGCTTTGGGACCTTGGTGGGTGCAGGAAGGAGCGGAGGCTGCAGGATCTGCCCCAAGCTCACAGGTCAGACCTCACGGAAGGAGAGAAATGCATAATGGTGATTAATGGTTGCACGTACCCTCTGTGCTTAGTCACACCGGGGGATATGGAAAGGATCCGGTGGGAAGCTGTCAGACCCAGAAGGTGAATGAGCAGAGACCAGATCATCTGAAGAGCGCAACGAAGCACACAGCCATTCCCTCACCCTTTAAGAATGTTTGAGGCTATGCTTACAAATACTCACACACTTATCTGTTTATTCCATCCCACATTACCAGTGCTATTGATGGCCTCTAGGTACAAAAATGAAGTGTGTGGTGTGAATCTTTGGCTGACACTTCATTTGTGCTCTACATTTTGACAGTAAAATGGGAAGACATAACCTCCATCCTTGCTACAGGCCGGGTGGTTCTGGTTCTGCTGCAGTCACTCCTTTTATTCTATGAAACTCCACTCTGCAGCCTCTGACTCTCTGCAGGTGGAAATATATACAGGCCCAATGGCATACGTTATGGTAATACTTTGTCTCCCAGAGTCTTTATAACACGGACAGCCAACATGCTGTTTAAAAAACCTTCAGATTTTAAATTACAGTGAGCGTGCAGACACAAATCTTGCTGATCCCATTTAATTAAAATCTATGTGTAAGTAGACATACCGTATATCAGGCTGTCTGTTTGCACAAAATGCCATCTAGGAAGTCCAGTGATCTCGCTGGAAATCTCTGGGAAGCCCTCGTATGTAACTGGTTCCCCTAGAGCTCTCACAGAGCCACCTGGGACAGGCAATGCATGCTGCAGTGTGGCTACAGAGAACCTACGGACTCCTCGCCGGCTCTTGTGGATGACTCAGTATTTCTTGCAAGGTGCAAAGGATCGCAGCGTGCCAGCCAGCTCTTCCCATCATCGTCCTTCCCTTCCCTCTGAAGGGAAATCTGAGGGTGGGCATGCATTGCTGGAGTTGTGTTTGTTCACCTAGCATTTCAGCAGAGATATGTGGGAAAGGGAAAAGCAGCCCTCCCCTCTGACTATCGCATAAATATTCAGGGGATTTCCTCTAGTAACTCCCTTTGATACTGGTGGAGTTGATACATGCTAGTCCGACATGCTCCGGTGAACAATAGGCACCAATTCCCTGTTAACAACCCGACTGCTTTTGCTCTCCTTGAAGTCAATGGGAGTTTTGTCATTGACTTAAGTGGCAGCAGGTTGGGTCGGCTGCTTTTTCAACATTTAGATTGGATGTGCACCAGATGCTAAGCAAATTGAGCTAAAAATGGATTGGAAACCCCAGTACGCTAGCAATGGAAACAGGTACGGTGAAACTCTTCATCCCTGAAGACAAACACAAAAGAGAGGGGCAGTGGCTGCTGTTTGTGCTTTTGTCCTATTAACAGCAATATTTTTCATGACATGAATATATAGGGATTAACGCTCCTGTTTTTTTCACCAGACCGAGTCTGGGTTTTCAAAATGAATTCTGTGCATCTTTAAGCATGTGGTTCCTTCCTGGCTGGCTGGAGGAGCTCATCTGTCTTGGCTGTGTTTTTCTTTGCTCTCTCCCCACATCCAGAGATGGAGATTCATTTCCACTGTAGCCAGCTCTTGCAATATTGTCACAAGATGCTTGATTGTGCTTGTGCAGACCAGTTTAGCCAAGGCTTGATGGGTCCCAATCACATCATAGAGGCTCTCGGGAGCTTAAGAAGGTTGTTTATCATACAAAACTAAAGTAAACCAAGCTAAAAATGAAAACATAATTACCAGCCTTATATTCCCTTCATCACGGGGATAATCCCACTTAACTTGATGAGAATCCTCTCTTGAGTAATGTAGGTTGAATTTGTCAGTACGGGTTTGAGTGTATGAATATGTGATTCACTCTAACTGCAAAAATAAACCCAAGCCATTGACACTGTCCCTGAATCACGTTACTTTAGGACCCAGTAGTCAGGGAAGGGAGAGCAAGGTGGACAGTGCTTCTAGACCCACTAGTGTTTGTTCATGATATGATGCCACTGAACCAACCAGAGGCACCACTTTAGATAACACAGTCTTAGGACAGTTGAAACTCCAAGGCAACACATTTAGGGATGCAGAAGGAAGCAAGCAGTTGACATGGCTTCCTCTACAAGGTTACTTGCTATACCTACCTTAAGAGGGCATGAAACACACACAAATGCATTATGTATTTTTATTCTTACACAAGTTATGAAACAATGGTAGAGTCAATGTCCCTATATTGGGCTTTGGGGCATGCCGTTTCAAAGCAGCGTGGTAAAATCCCAATCTTTCCTTTGCTGATAACTACAGCTGATAACTGGTGTGACATGTTTCATCCAGGTGGCACCAAAATACATGATATTCAGACACCCCCGTCCCCATTGACTTCAGCAGGCAGCCAGAAGACTCAGGATCTCAGAGGAGCTGCTCAACACCTAGAAGGGCTGATCATTAAAAAAGCATTATAAATCTCTGAATGGTTTATGGTTTATGAGGGAAACAGCAATTGATTCCTCAGCGGTGCCATTACTCTCCGCTATTGCTATCATTCAAATGGCAATAATGTTGGTTATTTACCTTCAATTAAAATACCTAGTTAGTTGTGATGTCATTTAAAATAGCACTATAATGTGTTTAGTGCTCCCTTACCAAACGCCATAGATAAACTCCTCTTGGCAACAGGGGGCAGTGATATGAAATGAAAAATTAGCTTGGGGGAGGGAAGGAGGGAGAGGAAAGAATATGTAAATCTTTTGCTGGGATGTTTTTTCTACGTGTCTGTATCCACTTGGATGTGACCATGCTGGAAGTGAGACTGTGGACTTCCCTGCAGCCTCCTCAGAAGGCATCAGGGATCCAAAGCATCAGGTGTGGGGGGAGCATGGAGCAGTGCATTCTGTAGTCTCCCAGTCGACCAAAGTCTTTTGCTACTGCTCCTTGCCAGGGATGATTCACTGTCAGAACTCTGTAAAACTCTTCTTAATGCAAACCTTTTTCTCCACATAACACCAGCCATCTTCAGTACTGTTCTCTCCGTTTTCTCCAATCCAAAATCAAAATACAACTCACCAACTGTTTGTTGCCGTGGGAGAATTTTCTGTTTAATGAGAAAAACTGAGAGATTCTCAATAACCTTACCTCTGTTCTTTGCAGCTGCCTCCCAACTGCCCGATGTGCATGAAGTTTATTGTAAAATACTGAGAAAAATGTTTGCTGATAGCCACAACAGCTCTTCACAGACAAAAGAGATGTTTTTTTTTTTTTTCTTTTTCATGTCTGCTGTCCAGTTTAGAGCATTTTTCTCATGACAGGAGCATACTTCTACCTAACTCTTTGTGCTTTCATTCAGCGTCACTACAAAAAGCTGCACTTAAAAAAAAAAAAGCAAACAAACAACAAAAGATGTGGCAAAAATTTCAGAGATCGAAGAGCAGATTAACAAACAACAACAACAAAAAAGAAGAAAATAAAAAAAACCCATCACCTTATGCTTATATAAGCTCTTTTTTATGCAAGTGTAGAAATAAATGTTTAAAGAAATTAATAGAAAACTGAAAAAGAGTGTAAAGAGGGTTAGCTTGAAAAGAGCTCTTCTTGCTGTGCAGCCTCCAGCATGGCTAGCACTGTAGAAATTAGTGCAAAGCCATCTCCTGCCTTGAAGAGGCTTTGGGAGCAGACAGCCCCAGCATGTCACTGACAGAAGCCCTGGCATTTTGCTGGTGGTTGTATGTCAGCTGAAGGGTAATGTCATTTAGGAAGGTTGCTTTGTTCGGGTGACCAAAAACACTGGGTTTGTTGGGTGATGTCAGGTTTCTGTGTTGACCGAAGCAGGCTCATGGCAAGAAAGATAACTCGCATTGACAGCTTTCTGTAACGTGGTCCAAATATAAGCAATCAAGATGCTTATTCTGGGGAAGGGGAAAATAATTTAGGAGTGTTTGGAGCAGCTTCCTGAAGAATACTACATTAAACTGAGTTACATAGTAACAGATTGAATTTGGAGTCTTAACTTTAATTTTATTTTGTGTAGATTTAGATCGGATTTATGTGCAGTGCCATGCCCTTTGTTTATAGACAGAAATCCTCAGCTAACCTGCCTGAAAACTGATGGTATGATGTGGCCTCATATTATTTTTCTGTTTGTTATGAGTTGGCATTAAGGGCCCTATAATCACACAAATAATGCAGCCTACAGGGGCAATGAGCAGATCGACCTAAATCAAATAAGTATCTGGGTATGTACATGCTCATCTGCATATGTTATCATTACACCAATGATACCGGTATTTATTTGCAGGAGACCTGAACAGCTTCATCAGCAAAAGCAATCCAAGTTCAAGCCACAAAAAAAAAAAAAAAAAAAAAGCCAGCAGAAACAATAGCGGTCCTTTACCCCAATGCAACGTTTTGCATTTTGACAGCTATTAATGACACATTTGTTACTTGATCTCTGGGAGTGTTCCAAGGGATTCTTCAAAATCTTCAGGGCTCATTTTTGGTTTGGTTTTGTTGTGGAATTAAAAGGCAAAATATTTTCTGTTTCCCCAACTATGAGGACAGCCTTTCCCACAGCAGAGGGACATCCAAGGCAGGCGGAAGCGCCTCTGCCTTCTCTGCTGTGATGCAGATGCCCTGATTTTTCTCAGGAGTGGTTGTTTGGTTGTCAAAGTACTTCTGTGGGTCAGCGTCACTTTCAGATATCACCTGCTTGCCAAATATTAATTTACAATTCTGCATGTCGCTGTTGTGACAGCCTGACCAATACTTAAAGCATTATAGAACATACTGCTTGTCAACCAGGTTCAAGTCACACCAGTGTCATCATTGAGAAGGCAGAAATAACCAGAAATGCAGGTCTGGTGCTGGTGGGGGAAGGCTTTTCAAGGTGCCTTCAAACCCCCGTACTTCAGTTGTTGATGGGCCACCTCGTGCCCTTCCAAGATGAGCAGAATGCTGTGTAACCTTATTATCTATTCATTTACCTGCTGTGGAGTTCCTGTTGCCATATCACATGAGGATCAACCAAGCGCTTAGTAACAGAAATAAAAAGCTCTTCCTCGTTCTTCTCTTCCATCCGACAGAAGAAACTGTAGAATAGTAGGAGATTATTTCTAAGGTCGTCAGTACGTCTCGCTTTGCTTATGTATTTGTGTGCGTTTGAAAAAGCACTGTGTCAAAAGAAAGAAAAAAAAAAAAAAGAAAGTTTATATTAATTCCTGGTAGGATGTTTTCTGTGATCATTCTTTATAGCCTAAGTTGCTTGTGAGAAAGTTACTTAAGGAAACAAAAGCCCTCACCTTTTGTTGGCAGAATACAGCTCCGGTGGGATGCCACGTTTAGAGAGCAATAAAAAAAGTGAGAGGGGCATTGTCTCCTTCAGGTAGTCAGGGTCACACTCCTGGGTTTTAATTCCAGCAGTGTTTCATACTAAAATGACCTCATGTATTACCTAGGACAACGGGACTGTGTAATGAAAACCACTGCACAGCACAGTGAATTAAAATCAAGATACACATTACAGAGTGCAAATGGCTGGAGATGCAGATAAAAAGAAAGATGGATGTAAGGAGAATATCGGACAATGATCCATGAACTGCAATTCTTCACCGTTAAGTATACTCTGTGACTTACTAATTTTCCCTTATAAGAAATGGGAATTAATGTTATTTTCCATCCTAGAGTAATCGTATAGCAATTCTTCATGGGTTTTTTTTTTCCTTCTTGTGCAGGGGGCGAACTACGTGGAAGTCAAGACACGTTCAAAATTGCTGTTAAAAATGCTTCAACATGCAAATTTTTACAGTTTGGACTTTGTTTTCTTAGAGTTAAATGACGTGCATACATGAGAATGTACTCAGTAATCACACAGCTTATGCTAAGTAACTATTTCAAGTTGTCTTCAATACCAGCATGTTTCCACATACTTACCTTGAAGTGTTAATGACATTTATTTTGGTAATTTTTACTCTACTAACATGCTCTTTCAACACTTTAATGCACTGATGTATGTTTTTCAAGCAAATCTCTTAATTTACCTCAATGAGGAAATTGACTTGAAAAGCAGCACAAATCCTTGCTTATATAGGAAGTGTGTCTTGAAGTTAATGAGCTTATTTGCCTAAGGATGCCGGTATGGAGACTGCTCCAGTGAGTACAAGTTTCACAACTGGATGCAAAGTCATTAGCTTATTGCAGACCAACCTCTTGAAATAGTGACTCTTCTTCCAGCTCTGGAAAAGCAATTTCACCGAACATCATTTTTTAAGATGTGAAAACGCAAACATGAGAGAATGCAAATATATATTTTTAAATATAGAACTTTAATTAAACATCAGTGCGTTTCAGGATGATGGTAACTGAAAGCAGAATCTGCCAACATGCAGGTAAAACTGTTTGTTCCCCACTGGACCGCATCCAGCATCCATTGCAGTCTTTCCATGGAGAGTAAGACTCCAAGTAGACAGAAAGATCTTTCTTTTGCCTCCAGGATGTTCTTACCACACACAATGCATCAATCCTCCTTGCAGTACAATGCAGGTTATTATTAGAAATACATTAATAGAATATTATGTATTTGCAATCTTAACGCGGGGTATAATTTATTTACAACCTTGCATCTCAGCTTCTCCTTTTTCCTCTCCCCGACTCCTCTGTATCTTCTTTCTTCTGAGCAGTCTTACAATGCAGCACCAGGATTGTCCGTAGTGTTTAATGTTTTAGTGAGGTGCGTGGTCTCTCCTTTCACTCCCCAGGGTCCTGTTTCATCCCGGTGTGCTGAGAGATGCATGCTTTTACTTTTGCATCTGACAAAAAGTACTCATGAGGTGTGTGAGCAGCCCCGTGGGAATGCATGCATCTCCTCCTTCCTCTGCTGCTGGAAAACCTGCCTGCTTCAGACAGGGACTAAGGTTGTTACAGCTTATTAAAAACTACGCCACGAGAAACTTAAACTGGCATTGTATAAATAGGACACACAATGGGCATGCACCGGACACAACATTTATTTTCAGTTGTTATTGATGACCTTTCATAAGTTGCTCATGGCTCTACTTTGGCCTGTCACTTGTGAGCTAAAGGGTCATCAATAACTTATGGAAATAACTGCCTTATTGATAGTCTGGCTACTGCATATCCAGCATTTTATCTCTTTATATAGACACACAGACATTCAAAATACAAATCACAGAGAAAACACTTTTGATGGCAGCCACTGCCCTTTTATCTTAAAAAAAAAAAAAAAGTGGCTTTCTAGATTTTTCTTGCTTGCTTTCTTCCTCCCTTTCTTGCTTGCTTTCTTCTTTCTTTCTTTCTTTCCTTCTTTCTTTCTTTCTTTCTTTCTTCTTTCCTTCCTTCCTTCCTTTCTTTCTTCCTTTCTTTCTCCCTCTCTCTCTCTCTCTCTCTGTCTTTGGTATTTCATAAAGATATGCCCCTAATTTATTTATAAGGGTAAGTCTTCAGAACAAGGTAGTATTACCGAGCTGGCTTACCAGTTCCTCTATACACATGGGTACATTCATAATTGATGAAATGGTCTATAGTGTTGTGGGTAGAATAAACTTAAGGTCAAAACTCTGGGAGAGCAAATCTTGCCATTATTCCTGATGAGAAATAAATACGTGCAGGAACTAAAAAGTGCGGAACTGAAAGGGAATAAAACTGAATGTATAAGGGCACTTTCAGCAATTCATTCCGAAGTGAAAGTGCTTTTTCTGGTGGTTTTTGTGTTTTGTTTTTTCCTTCATTGCCTTGATCTTCCCCAAACTGTTGTTGGGGCAGGTTAATGACTGACCTTTGAGGGAACCGCATACCAGCCTTTGTTCCCTAGCAGTCAGCATCTTGCAGAGGCTTGAAACCTTTGAGAGAGAGAATAGGATTAAGCTGCAGTGTGAAGTCCGGCGCAGGTGATGATGGATGGGAGCGGAGCAGCGGGTTTCTCAGGAAGGAATTCGTTTCGCTGCTGCGGAATTACCTGACGGAGGCGGCCGGTGCTCCAGATCCGTTCCCTTTTCAGCAGCCCTCAGTGCTAAAACCCATCTGCGATCTGAACGGCTGCGGGTAAGCGCAATCAGATGGACGTTTGCAGGGCGAGCCCTCGGCGTGCCGCTCGGCTCAACACCTGCCTTACGCTCCTACCCGCTGCCGCACACCACAGCCCCGTGCAAGCCGGCTCTGGGCGCCTCCGGGGCTGGGGCAACGCAGTGAGGTAAAACCTAAAGGCATCGGGGCTCTTTGGGGCTCTTAACGGGTGCCGGTGCCCCGCTCCCGGAGGCTCCCACCTCACCACCACCACACCCCACTCATCCCGGGCTCCCCCGGCCGGCGGCTCGGCCCCTCAGCCCAGACCGGCCGGCGCCGGCCGTGTGACATCACCCATTCACGCCGCGGCCCAGCTGGCGCCGCCGGGGCGGTCGCCGTGGCAACGCGGACGCCAAGCCGCGGGCAATGACTTCCAGCTGCACGCCGACCGACCGCCGCAGCGCGCATGCGCGCCCCGGTGTTCTGAAGGTCCCCCCCCCGCGTTATGTGGAACAGCGGTCAGTGGGGCTCTGTGTGTGGGCGCCTCGCGTTGCTCGCGTTTGGAGCCAGTGGCAGCCAATGCTACGGCTTTGAGGGGTTATCTGAGCTAAACTCCCGTGAATGGCCTTGATGGCCGTAGCTGGCACATCCTCATTCTTAGGTTGTGAGAGAGCGAATGATTTCTGTGTTCGCTTTTGGGATGCCGCCACTGGTTTTGCCACCTTCTCCTTTGCTGCTCCTTTTCCTGCGTTGGGGAAAATATATCTGAGCTGATACAGGGCCTGTCAGCACTTGGTGCTTTGCACAAGGCCACTGAGGCCATGCAGACCAACTACCAGCCATGCCCACTAAGCCATAACAGTGCTGAGCCGTGGCCTTGTGGTTTGGTAGCTTGCAGTCTGTGTGTGAAACTTGCTGTAAGTATTAACTATAGCTTGTAGTGATGTGAAAAAGATGAGAATCCTACTAAGGAAAAAAAAAATAAATTGCTTTTCATGTGGTTCCAAAAAGCTTAATGCGTTCTGTAGGAACAACATGCTTCTGACTCAGTTGATCTGTAAGAATGAAGACGTAGCGAAACATTAATTTTCCAAAATTATGGAGTGTTTTAGTGCGATTGTAATGGCCCCTTTGTGCTTTTAATTGATTAACATTGTTATAACACAAATTGTAGCTCGCTGTAACCAAGTGCTTTAGATGTGAAAGAAACTGGCTGGCGTCTTGAGGTAAAGGTGCTGTCTGTATTATGTGCTCGCATAGAATCTGCTCTGATTTACTTGCAGTAAGTTATGCTAATACTGATGTTCCTTGGTACTGTTGTGCTTCTGTGCCTTTTACACATGCTGTGTTTCCTTAGGGAGCTGTACCTGGACTTGGGATGGCCAGGAGATCTGGGTGCTGCGCGAAGCAGGAGCAGTGAATGATGTTGGCGAGGGGAGCCCTCTGGAAACTGTGACTGCTTGTGTGTGTTGCAACTACATCTGATTAGTTCATCAGGAGCCGGTGTCAGCCTCGTACATCTAGCGCTGAGTGAGCCTGGATGCAGTCCAGCTGCTGCCTTGCCCTATAGGGCTGAAGTGCTCAGCCTTGCTGAACCAGACGTGTGCCTGGGTGTGCCTGATCTGTGTTGCTCTTATCAGGAGAGCTAAGCAGCCCAACACAGCGGGTGTTCTCGCAAGAGTGCAACCCTAACTCTGCGTGGCTGGTGCTCAGCTGGAGGTATGGGTTTAGCCTGGATTCTGCAGCATTGTGCTGCCATGCTGTGCTCTACTGAGAGATAAACTCAGGTGATCTTGGATCCAGGCTGGATTTGTGCTGTGCCCAACCAGGATTGAGTTCAGCCTGGGGTTAGTAACATCAATATGATTTCAGAGCCACTCGGATGAATCCAAACTTTGCTGCTTAGCACAGCATAGGGATAACTGGGCAAGCTTTGCAAGATGCATGCGTGTTCCGTGCTGCGTGAAAGTACTTGTACGGATGTGAATCTGCAGGGCCCTGGGATGCAGCCTGAGCTGATGAACTCAATCAGATCCAAATTGGCTCTGCATGGAACTTGCCTGGTGCCTCTGGCCTTCCAGCATTCTTGATTTGCTGCTCATCAGCTGTGGTATAGCTGCGTGTTGACTTTATCTACTACTGTACTTGCAGATGCATAATCTAAAACGTGGTGATTGGGCAAAAAAATCACTAGGAGAGAAGTTTATAGAGAGATTCAGTAGCGCAGGGGAATGGTGTTTAAGACCAGGCCCACGCCTCAACACTTCACCATTTATCTTTCTTTCGGATAAGGGAGCAGATCCACAGAAATGTGGAATTTACTGTTGTTGAAAACTGAGTGTAATACTAAACTTTAACTGAGCTTGTGTATTCCCTTTTCCAGTATTTGTAACAGTCAGATATTTGTGTTTCTTCATTGCATGTAACAATTCTGATCTAGCAAAGCACTTAAATTATGTTCTGTAGAGCTTTATTGGATCGGGGCCACTGTCAGTACTTCCAAAAAGTAAAGCCTAAAGCAGTCTCTGAAATATTTGGCTAGAGATGGTCTAGTATTATTCCTCACCCATAAGGATCTTATCTGGACCCTCCCGTAGGAACTGAAATAGCAAATGTCATGTATGCAGCCTTGGCAGTCAGTTTTGAACTTGGAGGGCTTCTTATGGTGAAGTAGTGTGAGCCAACATGCCTATTAGACATGTTCAGAGCTTTTTATGCTTTTCTTATCCATTTGAAACACAAACAATTCCTGCTTTCCAAATCAGGCTTAGCCATGTATTATGATGGCGGCGGCAACTTGATAAAAGTAATATAGAAAACATAGCCTTTAGTTGCCTACAGAATGTGTTTTATCCAAGAAGGAAAAAATCTCCCATTCTAAAATTAACTAAATAGTTGTTTAAAAAGCATTAAAATGTTGTAAGCGGCTGCTTACTGATTTGTAAACAGTTTTCGATAAGCTTTATTGATCAGTAGTGCAAAATACATATATACATCTTATATACATCAGATACATCAGTGACTTCTAAGTTTTCGTCTTCAGATTTGTTTATATTACTGGGCCTTTGTGGCTCATGCTTCTGATAAATGGAATAACTTCATACGTGCTGCCTTATTCTGAACTACTTTGTCTTCTCTTCTTTTTTACTGAGATTCTAAAGAATTTTCACACAGAGGGTGGTGATGCAGTGGAACAGGTTGCCGAAGGAGGTTGTGGATGCCCCATCCTGGAGGCATTCAAGGCCAGGCTGGATGTGGCTCTGGCAGCCTCATCTGGTGGCTGGCACATAGCAGGGGCCGAGATTTTTGAGGTCCTTTTCAACTCAGGCCATCCTATGATTCTATGAATGCTGGGTGACAATAAGTCAAAAATTGTTATCCTTTTGTGTGGGATAGGATGTGTTTTCAGGTAGCCTATGCTATAGTGTGGGGGGGAAAGTGCCTGTGAAGTACAAAATGTACTTTTGTGGAGTGTGTTTGTTATGGATTTGGATTATGTGTTTGTTATGGATATTTCCAAGTGGCAGTTTTGCTGAGAGACCAAGTAGCCTTTATTAGCCCCTTCCGACTATATACTGGGAGTGTTTTCAGTCTCATCCTGAAAGCCATGCCACACGTAGGATAGTACAGGATCTACCTTTCTCGTGGGAAGCACAACAGTGCCACTTTAGAGTGTCTTACCATGGTTTACTCAAAATACGTTTGCTTCAGAGTTTTCAGGATGCAAAAGAAATTTGCTTTTATGATACACAGTTAGTACACTGGTCACTCTGAAAGTAATGCCTCGTATTTATTTATTTGGAAACTACAGCAGATACAAAGAGCACAATAACATGATTTGGTAGAGCAAATTCTCGGCTATGAAATGCTGTTTTTCAAAAGTCACCACCATGAGCTATGCATTTTTGCTGGTGATGAACAAGAGTGTGTGCCATGCTCATTAAAAAGAAAACTTCACAAGTGGATGTGACCTGCTGTTACTTCTACTGAAGCACTGCAAGAATAGATGAATGTCAGTGGTTGAAATTTTTTCTGCGTGGAGGAATTCAATGACACACCTTTACTTCATCTCCTCTTCCAAGTCAAATGCTATTTTGTCAGAATGCTTCTCTGCTGCCAGCTGTTGCATGGCAACGAAATATAATGGAATATGGGTGGAAGAGATAGACTTCTGCTGCCATACCACCAACATCTGCCTCTGATGTAACGGGCCAACATAATAAAATAGGAGGCATTACTTTTGGAGCAGCTAATTTGGATATTTTATGTGTAGTGCAATGAGCACAGAACTCTTAAATTTGGCTTTGCAGAGTCAACCAGCAAATCCTGTTTTCTGAAGTGATCTTAGAGATTAAAAAGTTGCTGGAGAGGATCTGGGAAATAGGAAGAATTTAAGATATCTCACTACTGTTGATTGGATGTAAGGAGATCGAGGAAGGCTCAGGACTGAGAATTATTTCCTGGGCCCTATTTTGAGATATGAAGCTGCAAATAACACGTTTTCATTATGTCATTGCATTCCCAGAGCTGCCCAGTATTCAGCCTCGATCATGAAAGGCTTCATGAACTGTGATAATTGTACGAAACTTTTTGTGAGTGGTGTATGCGTGTATCTAAATACATACATAAAATGTAAAAAATGGTTTCTAAGTATGTAGTTACAACAAACCGACTTATGGAAAAATCCCATTATTTAATAATGTACCTCTTGTTGGAGTGAGCAGCAAAAGAGCTTAAGCATTATAACCTTGAAACTCCTGTCTACCATAGCGGTGTTAAAAGTAGGTGGATGGCAGTGTTTTATTTATCTAAAGCTATTTCCATGTGAATTAAAAAAAAAAAAAAATTTCAATGATTTAAGGCTAGAGAAGAAGAAAGTGGCTGACCAAATTTGACCTGACAGTAGCCCTTTATATTTTCATAATTAATAAAGTAAAAAAAAAAAAAAAGTATTTGCATTGATTGTAACATGTTTTGTTAATTACTGCTATTTGTCTTATTTCATATTGTCAAATGGGAGCCTCATGTTTTCGATCGTTCAGGCTCTTAGCTGTGGTAAATGTACTTCTGGCAGCCTCGTGGCATCTGCTGTGTGCTTGTGCTGGAAGGTTTGTTTGCTTATGCTGCCAGGGCTCTGTGTTTTTCTTGTGGAAGAGCAAGGGTGGCTTTTAAACCCTGGTTAAAGAAGCTCTTTGTCCTGCAGTGAAAATGTCGTGTCTTTGAGTTAAATTCGTCAATTCAAATGCAGTGTTTCAGTGTTCAGTAATGCAGTCTGATATGCTAGACAGTTGGTATCTGCAGAGGTTATATCTAGAATTATGTGGCTCTGAATGCTGGAGGATCTCCAAGGTGTGAGGTAAGTGTGTGTCTTAGCTCTCCGGTGTAATTTAGGTTTATTATTCTCACCAGGATTCACTTGTAACATGGATCACCATATAGTGAAGGAGACTTACTGCTCTACACCGTATTTCTTAGATGCAAATAATTCCTTATGACTTTTCTTTGTGAAAGG